TAAAGTGTTCCGAATCGTGGAACTGAGATACGTTGTCAATCGCGATATTAAACTTTGATCAGATTGTGATATCATGCACCATCGACTGCGTTCAAGAGTCATTATGGTGGGCACGCAGTTTCTTTGTATTATCGGCAACAGGTGTAAATTTAGTATATAGTGGACTTTGTCTATGTCCACTATGTATCACCTGATCTCCCGAAAAAGTTGATTCACTTGAGAAAAGTTATATTAATAATATTGTACGATAGTACCGTTGGAAACTTTTTATCTCTTAAATTTTGTTTCAGTAATACATGTTAGTTTCTTATATTTATGAATAAATCTAATGTATCTAATGTTTGATTACAACCTCATTATTACAATATTTAATATAACAAGTAATTATTGTAGTTGAGTTAAAAAATTAAGTATTTATTTTTTATTGATTTATTTTAATCAAGATCGGATTGTAAAGTAAATTTAGCTTTACTATAAATAATATAGAATTCTATATTCGATATTAAAAAAAATTCGATGTTAAAAAAAAATTTTTTTGTTTAGCGCATCAAACGTGATATCGTGATGCCTGCGGGCAAGAACAGAGGGGCACGATGTCGCGATGCAATCCGTGGGGAAGGAAGGGAGTCAGATTTAGGTACAGAGATCGGAGGTCAGAGATCGGAGGTCGGAGGACGCGAAATGATGGTCGGAGGATGCCGGGGGTTGGAGAGGCGGGGAGGGAAGAAGGGGGCTGCAGCCTGGGAATGATCAATACTACTCGTACGCCAAGTTCCCACGAGAGTAGCGAAGATGGGTCGAGGAGCACGAGAAATTGAACGTTTTCGATTTGCAAGAATGATGAGAAGCTCGTTTACAGGGGAGTAAAGAGGGGGACATATAAAATGATTTCCTGTCTATTGATGCTTCGCTCGTATTGTCCTATACGTCTCAACCTCTCTGATTCTCTCGGTGATGTGTATCCCTTATTTTTGTAACATAAATAACAAGAAATGCTCTTCAAATAAAAAAAAATCACTTACACTTGGTGTATCACGGCAATGGACAAAATTGCGTTTGAAATTCATGTTTCCACGAATTTGTATGCATCTGAACGCGGATACGCAATTTTAGCATTTTATTACGCACTCAGCTCTCTCTGGAGATTATTTCAATATATCTGATAACAGCCACTTTTTCCGCTAGCTTTGTACAAGCGAAGCAATAAATTTCATTTTATAAATTGTATTAGCTCCGAAGTTTTGTTATCTCTTTATTTCAATCAAATTTTAATATAAAAATTTCGTTTTATCAGTGTCGTACGTAATGTAAATTTTAGTTTTACATTTATTAGTTTTATATATAAATTTAGAATTTATATTTTTTATTAGTACAAATTTATTAAGGTATTATTATCCGTTAAAATTTTTTTAAATAAATATGTTGATACAACTTTAAGGTAGGTTTCAAACATCAAATTGACAAAGTTTCAAGGACGTATTACAGTAGAGTCTCACTAAATTTAGCCCATGGGGCGATAAGAGTAGAATGTCAAAATTATAGAGTATCCTCTCTACAGCACGAGTCTACCAATCATCGCGTACTTGCGCGAACGCAGTTGCGCATGCTAACCTGTGCACTACAAAGTGCACTACAGTGTACATAACCTTAGCAGAACAAGTTATATATACATATGTATCTACCACATATTATGTATCACAAAAGAATACACTGTAACAAATAAAATGTTAATTTTAACTTAAAGACGTATAGTGGACTTTCTGAGACATGTAAAAATGTTAAAATTAACACAAAATGTTTATTTTTACATTTTTGCATGTCTCAAAAAGTCCACTATACGTCTTTAAGTTAAAATTAACATTTTACTTTTTACAGTGTACATTACACAAATAGTTATACATAACCTGCCTATGGAATTACATTGCATACACTGTGAGAATAGTACAATCAAGTGCAGATGCGCGCGCAACACATATCCAGCCTACCATGGCATGGAAGGGGCATGACATGTTTGTAAAAGTATGCGTGGGGAATGCAAAGATTACAGAAATAATGAAATTTAGAGAGACTGTAGTGTAAATCGAAAAAAATTGAAGAAAAAAATTCTCCCTTTTAGTTTATCTCAAACGAAAATTGTTTTAACAGAAATTTATAATTTTAAATTTAATCGTGCTCTTAAGATAATTTATACTGACAATTTTAAAGTTTCGTAGAAAAGATTAAATCTAAATTCGAAGAATGTACCATTAAACGGGGGGGGGGGGGGAGAGATTGTGAATTAAGGACGCTTTGTAGTTAAAATCCATTTTCCCGAATATGCAAATACACTTCCGCGTAAACCTGAGATTGGATTACTGTTCCGCGAATTATTCTTACAGTTCCAAAAATATCGTTCTTTCTAGAAAGGAATATTTAAAAGTTTGCTTCTCAGTTTATTCCCTTGAAAAGCCACCCGCGTTACGCATAGCGAAATATTCAATTGATGCCAGTCCGCCACCGCAACCGGTTTGTCACGGATCAGCGACGCGCGACGGAGATTCTCCGATCAGAGCACCGCAGTGATGCAAACGACATGCTCGTTTGCGTGAAATGCATGTTGCCGGGCGGCGGCGCGACATCATGACCAATCATGACGTCCAATAACCCTGAAATATTAACGATACGGGATGCACGTGGTCTCTCAAGGTTCTCTCTTGGTCTCTCTTTCTCTCTCTCTCCCTCTCCTCTAGACGGTTAGAGAGATACATGAGTGCGGGAACACGACGATGTGGCGAAGTGCGAGCATCCAAGCGAGTAACCGATTTCATGATATGTTGCATTTTCACATCATACGAGCGTGGAATTTCGCGGCATGCATCGTCGCACGAGTTTTGCGAGTTTCACTGAATGCTGAGAATGATACGTGTTTGCGGGACATTCGATTCAACGAGGATCTAACGCACATTTGAGTTGCGAAGTCTCTTTGCAGAGAGATAGAGTAGATGTAGGTATATAACAAAGAATAATCGGGAAGTTGCTGTGAGTTTGGGAAATCGTTCGACCGGAGCGCGGACGTGCTTTCGCTTCGGTCCGCGAGTGTTGCATCTTAATATTTTCGAAAAATATGACCGACTTCGAATTTGTATTGTATTCGTATTGAAATAAATTAAACATTATTCTGTAAAAAAAAAAAATCCCATTCTGTTTTTTTATAGAAAATAACGAAAGAAGAAAAATAACAAGTTTTTTTTACGATGTTTAATTTATTTCATTAAAGTGTTTAATTTATTTTATTTGGTTTGATTATGTCATCAAATAACAACAATTTAGTTTCAGCAACTTTTCGATTGTCATTCGATAGGTACATCAAAATTTCTGTTAAAGTAAATTACATTTATTAACATAAAAGAAGATATTTTATCCTCCAACTTCTTTACATCCTTGAAATTTTGTTTGTTACTTTTGCGTTTAAAGCTGAGTTATTAAGGTAATTTATTTCTAAAAATTTTAACAAATAATGAAGTAAGAATACGTTTCTGCTAAATATCCCGTATTTATCATGTCAAAATTTTCGATTAAACTTATTCCTCTTAATTCCCACACGATTTATATACTTTTTCATTGTATGCATAAGCTACAAAACAATCTTTTTGTTCATTATTAAATTGACTCCTGAATTCTAATATACTTTTGGTGTTATAAACAGCGTCAACTGGATAGTTTAATTGCCAAGTGTCGTAATTTACATTATCCTTATTTCATGCCGAAAATAAATTCCTCTCAATGCTTTCCATCGATTTATCGACTTACGGTCGACTCCTCCGCGGGAAACGAGTTGCTGTTAACGCGATTGATTATGCGAGTCTCGCGTGTAGAATGTAGACTGCGCGCGTAAAAACAGGCCACGAACCACCCTCTCCTTTATCTCTTTCTTTCTAGATCGATGGTTGTAATTAGGATAATCGTCGCCTGATTGCACGCAACGGCACGCGATCATAATCGAGAGAAGTCACTCAAGGAGCACCAAAACCGTGCGAAAATCTCGCCGTCGCATCCTCGCGAACGGAACGGAACGAAACGGAACGGAACCGAATTTAACCGGAAAACGAAAACGGCAGTCGTCGATTCAGAGGCGCGTAACCACCACGTCACAGCGAGGCAAATGTTCCCGACGAGCTTTCGCGAGATTCCGCCGCCGAGTAGTATATCCAAGAAAAATCGCTGCCGTCGCCGGCAGCAGTACGGCACCGGCATTATTGCCAATGCACTTCCGGTACTATCAATCGGACCGTCGCGATGAAGTGAGCACCACCGTTGCCTCATTAACTTCAACGACGATGCAGTTCACAACCACAGTTGGTTGTATCCGCATCCAAGCTCTTAAAACGTAATCGATAGTGTTCAGCGTCCGTCGCGTGTCGTCCCGGGTTCAACGCTGATTTGAACGCTCCGTTTAAACGAAAGACACCGGAAGCGGGAGTACCTGCAGTCAAGAATAGAGATACGTTAAAGGGAATAGATCGAGGTCGAGAGACAAGGGTTGCGACGACGACGGCGGCGAGTACGGGAACGGGAACGGGAACGACGACGACGATGACGATACGGGGCGATAGTTAAACGATAACGACAAGGAGGATCTTGATAAAACGAATATAGTGTGATCACGACGCGACGTTATAGCGTTGATAGCTTTCGCATAAATTACCATACATATATATATATATATATATATATATATACACATAGGTAAATGCATACGAGCGCACAAGTATACAAGCGAAACGAGCAAATATATACGTTTAATTATTGTGATACGCATACGTAACTATAAGCACGCAGGCGTGTCGATCGACAAGCAATAAGAGCAATAAAAAGATATTATATCGTGTTATACTCTGTCGAATCGGTGATTCCTATCACACTGTGTTCGAAAGAAGCTCGTTAGTCGTTAAACCGATCGACGGGGGGTTTATTTACTTATTTTACCGGGACCGTCGGAAAAGAAGTGCACCGACGACAAGATGGCGTTCGCCGCGGCAAGGATGATCCTCAAGGACAAGCGCAGGAAACCTAGCAAAGAGGACTTCGCACCGCGAAACAGAAGCAAGGTAAAATCGCATACGATCATGTGTGTCAGACTGATTCTGTTTCATCATTCATGTATCGCGCTCCATAATCGAGCGGCGAAATTCATGAGGGTGAAATTCTATCCGGGAACGCGCACAAATCGCGTGAAAGGGGAGGCTTCTTGGTAAGCCGCAGCGCAATTCTTAGTCTATACATATATCGCGTATATACCCTGGAAGGACGATTTAACTCGCATCGCATCGATTCCTCCGAGCAATCGGCGATCATTTTTCATTTTGAAGGGAACACAAAGGCAGTCTAGACTACTTCTGCAAAAAAGGAGAAAGGGAGCGTGAGTAATGGTAGTCAAGAGGACATTGACACGCCAAACTATAATGTCATTAAAGCCGTAAATTACATTAGCGATTACGCGACTGCGATCGGTAATTGACAATTAATTACTTTTCAACAACTTGAAGTAAAGCATTCAGTGACTGCTTTAATTGGTTGCTCTGATTGGTTGTAAGTAATCGCCAATCGCTATTCACAATCGCGCAATTATACTAGTGTGATTATGGCTTAACGCGCATCTTTACCGCAAAGTCGTTGTTGCGTTAGTGGAAATTATTGTATATACGGTTGACTTTCCCATGACGAGACGATGGTTCTTTTATATATGCGATAGTATGTGAAAGAAAACGCACAATGATGTTATCGACGCGGTAGCTGATTACGCGAGACGTAAAATAAACGAGTTGTTTTTATTAAGATAATTAATTTTGCGGAACGATCGTTGCGAGATACGGACAACGAAACTTACCTCTATTTTGTCGAGCATCGGAGCGAGTGCTGAGTTTTTTAAGAGCGAGTGTCGGATTTTTTTTTAGACACGAAACCGATATTACGAAGCTGATAAATGCAGACTTTAATTGTCAGGAAAACAATTGTATGTGGTCGTCTAATAATACATTAAGCGACTATGCATAAAAAGAGAGCCATTCATACGAGTATAACTCAACTTGAAAGGATTTGCGCATAATAAAGTTATTCTGAGTTATACTATTATAAAAACTAAATATAATTTCTAGAAAGACTAAATGTTAAATATATCTTTAAATTATTATACAGGCTTTGTTACCATTTAATTCTTTGTGGATTAAATATAAAATAATTATAAGAAAATAACATATATATATATATATATATATATATATATATATATATACATAGTTACAATCTGTATTTTCTTTGTAGATATATGTAAGAATTTTGAAAGATACATTTAAGAATTGCCTTCACAATGAAAATTTATTGGAAATACAACAAATAATAAAAATAGAATTTGGGCATCGTAAAGATTCGAAGAGCCTGTAGCAATAATCAACGTGGTATAAATGACGCAGAGCTATGAAAATCTTTCTATGGTAGATAGCCAAAGAATTTATATCTTCAGAGATAAAATCTTGACAGAGAAAAATAAAATCACAATTTTAATGTCTCGATCCGTCGTCTTTAGATACATATAGATAGATAATATAAAACAAAAAGTTGAAGACGCTGTCCGCATGAATTTATTACAAGTTAGTTCCAGGAAAAAGCATAAATAACGTGTAATTCACATTTCACACGTATATATGCATACGATTAACACGTACACATCATGGTAATGAAGAAGAAGAAAAGAGTTTTCTTTGACAATAGTCGAACGATATCGACTTTTCGAAGATTTCACGCACACATATTCGCGCACATTGCTCTAAAGTTTTATCAAAATTGCATAACTTGTTCTGTCAACATTCGAGGCATTTTTCCGATATGCGTTTGCTCACGCTTCCGTGATTTTGTGCAGCATCTGCACATTACCGAAACTTTCTGGGATTTGATATTTTATTCGTTGATTCGTAACACGGCGTGGTGTTACATCGTAAATGCGCTCAAATAAACAATTGCTTGTTTTTCAAATATATGTTTTTATTATGTTAAGATGTCTCCATAATTTCTAATAACCGTAAAATACTTTAATAGTATAGTATATTCTGGAGATTGATTAATTTTAATAAAAATATATTTTAACCTAAAAATATTGACGTTGCAATAATTGTTCTTATAAACAATCAAATTTAACACGAGAATATTACATAGAATTAGCGCACCAAGTCTTTAATCGCAATTATATTTATTAGTAATTTTCATAGCTCTGGTGATATTGTGATTTTTATTCTTGAGCTGATTTTGTCTTCTTCTCACACAGAGACTATATAAATAACAAACCAAATAATAAAAAATTATATCACGGTTGTTCCGCCGACTTGTGTGATGTCTCCAGATCTTTTTCTTTTTTTTTTATTGTACACAACATCCACATTTTCAAATACAGTTAATTACGATCGTACATTAATCACTAGGAAAAGACAGTTGTATGATATTTTATACCACTTTCTCGACATTAATCACAAGTAACAAAGAAATGAAGCATTTTATAACAACGAAAGAATAAGTTTATAACACGAACAAGTATGGTATTAATATCTGCGAATTAACACAATCAATCTCGCGAATAAAAGGAAATTTTAAAACATTATCAATATATAAACATCGAATTTATTTTACACGATTGATAATTATTATTTGAATGCATTGCGATGCTGCTCGAATCCAAATCAATTCGTTCTGTGTCACAACGTTCCATTGATGATCAAAAAATTTGGAAATAATGCAATTTCACTCTAATACATACTCATTAATTAATGCTTCATTAAGATATGATGAACTGTTTAAAAATACATAATCAAAATTCAATATTGCACACACAATATGCATCAAGTACATAAATCGCGAAATAAAAATATTTGTTGTTTATAAACGATCGATACATCGTGGTTTTTTATTACATAAATTACTCGATTCTGTGATTTATTATGTATTACATCGCGAAAGATAAGCAAATTAGGTAAATATATAATTTAGGCAAATTAGGTAAATATATAATTTATATCTCACCGATTTTATTACCTTTTTTTTTTAGGTATGTAAGAGAGTTACAGTTCTGAGTAATTCATAAAAACTGAAGTAGGAGACGATATTGGTTTAGGTGATATAACAAATTAAAGTATCACAATAAGGCTTGTATAAAGATATTTAATTTGTTTTTGTTTTTTTGTTATAGTAATGGATTTACATATTTATAATTTTCCGTGCAAAGCAAAGTTCAATCTAAATCTATGTGTCTATTTTGTAGTCCTCTGAAGGAGGGTGTAAAGTACACTGCCTTTACGCATACACTTTGGATACCTTCCAACAAGAGACACACATGACACAGTGTGACACGGTGCATCATTACATTCTTGTTGTTAAACATGGATGAGATAATCACTGTGTTATACGGAGTCGCTTGTTGTAAGGCACCCTTCATAACACAAAGCGAGGTTTCACACGAGTTTACAACTTTCTACGCAAAACGAGGTTCAATCTAAATCTATGTATGGAAAGTTCTAAACGTATATAAAAACTCGCTTAAACATATAGGTTGATCTTCGCTTTGCGCGTGAAATGTTGTAAACTTATATATAAATCCATAATAAAAAGACACAGTTTTTAAATATCTTTATACAAACCTTATTGTGAAATTTTAATTTATTACGTCTACTAACCAATACAGACCGCTACTTAATTTTTGCAGGGAATTGCTCGCAACAACCTCTCTCTTTCTCTCTCTCTCTCTCTCTCTCTCTCTCTCTCACCCTCCTTCTCTCTCCTCTTTCCTACAATGTATCTAAATGGCAATAAAATCGGTGAGGTGTATATCTAAATTGTATATTTGCCACAAATTATATTTGAATCAATTAAAAAATTCAATTCAATACATGGTATAATCGAATCTACACTTCGTTGAAATACATTATAAATATCACAAAATTATAACTTGTAATGTGTATTACCTATTCGATTTCCACTATATTATATCTACCTTCAAAAAATAGTCACTTCGACGTTCATAATTCCTTAATTGGGAAAATTAATCAGTCGCATAGAGTCGTAATTACTAATTGTTCTTATTATTGAGAGTGATAAGATTTTCTTTTATCCGTCGCACAATTATGAGATGATACTGCGACTACAACACAACTACTCGTATGAAATAATTCACGTCGATATTTGCTAGTTCGCGCTGCGCGAATGGTAGCACATCATGTGTAAACATTCACACTGTACGCTGTAAATAAAAAATAAACATCGTTTACCCGTATCTGGTAAATCATTTTCTCACTACAAAACACTAACACACTATAAAACAAATGGATATCGAGTATTCTCTGTTAAACGAATTAATGAATAAGTTAGCACTGCGCATTAAGTCTAATATGAACATATAAAATATTTGCTTTTCTTGTAAATTTTTATATTTAAAAATTTTTAATAAAAATTTTGCACATAATTTTAATAAAGAAGTAAAAATTATATATATTTATATTATATTCATATATTCATATGATTTATTTATTAATTTATACGTTAAATTGACATAACTAAGTAAAATTTACTTAGCACGGAAATTATGTAGTAAGAACATAAGTGAGATTAATTAAATCCTAGATGGTCTTCTTATAATTTAAATCGTAATATAACGTGAAAATTTTTAAATATTTTAAATTGAATTATTGAACTCGCAAATTATGTCAATAAAATGGTTAAAATTATGTTCAAGTATTTTTTTACATTAGTGACAGAGTAATTATTCGCAATTTGTCATTGTATAACATTATATAGTATTGTATTTGAAATTTGTCATCTGTTTTTAGTAAGACATTAATGGCTGAATTAGTCATAAATAATTATTTCGTATGTGTAATAATTATTTCTTAACATATTGTTCATTTTTTAAATTGCTATGATTTATATATATCTTCAGTTATTATTTTAACTTTAGTTTTTATTACATCTCCGCAGTTATACATCAGCGACGAACTTCCTTCTAATAGATCTGTGAAAATTTTATCAAATACTTATATGTATGTAAGATGTGTGTGTGTGTGTGTGTGTGTGTGTGTCTGTGTGTGTGTAACTAAAAGCTCAAGATTATTACACATTAAATAAAACATTTTACAGATCTGTTTTGTGTATATGTAAGATGTGTGTGTATGTGCCTGAAAATAGTTGGACTGGGACTATTAATATTTAATCTTGAAAATACATACATGTCTGTGATTGCTATTATCAATTTACGCGAATAAACGCTCATATATACGTATAAAGAGGTATTTCACGAACAGAGTAATTTCGGAGTAAAAAGTGATAAATATCTAATGATTATACAGCGAGTTTTACAAATATCTCTAAAAATCTGAGAAATATTTTCTCACTTTTCTTCAAATACTTTACGCAGATAAAATTATTACTCATTTTATAATGCTATGAAAACATGATATATATTAATATTATTTAAGTAAATATATGTGAATATCATTATAAAATACATTAACTGACTGAATATTTCAATTTATTGCTTAGATTACTTAGATAAATAATGGATTACTTAGATAAATATGGAAAACGATAAGCAGAAGAGGAAGAATTTAAAAGAATTAAAACTATAAAAAGAGTAGAACAGTAATATTATTTTTATTTTATATTTGAATATTTACTTAAATTTACATATAACAATTAATATTTTTATTAATTAATACACAATTCGTTAGTTGTTATTACACATATAAACTAATTGCTAATCACTATAGTGTATTAATCGTTAATCACTATAGTTCTTATAATATAAGAAGCAAAAAAAACTCAGTTGAAAATTAAAAATCAATATCACCAGGACTACGATAACGAATAATAAATTATTCGATAGATTAGTAAACAGGATTATAGATTTAAGTGAGCGGACTATACCAACAACCATATCAAAGTTGATTGCTAGTTCGAAAATTATTATGACCTTGATATTTGTGTATTCATGGTTTAGTATTCAAAAATATAAGAATAACGAGCTCTTTCGATGGGGAATCATTAAACAAGTGCGGTAAATTTTGTGGTATTCAATCGAATTCTCCCTCGTTCGAGTTTGTGATGAAATGACATTATTGTGAAGAAAACGTAAAGTAGGTCCCACGTTAACAAGTAGTCGGTCTCGATTTAACGCGCGACGTAAACGGTCAGACCAGGTGTGTCAGAAAGGAAACAGTTCCGTCGAAACATAAAAGCGGGGTTCGATCAATGCGTCGTATTTTGCTCGGTAAACCCGTCACGATTCGCTGACGTGACAGCTTTCCGATTTGATAGTCTCTTTTTTTCTTGCAATAGATGGGAGCGAAGCCGATCATCAATTAAGTCAAGCTTTAAAGAAACCTTTTCCAATAGTAAACGTATCAAATGGTAGCAGATCGCGTAATGTTTCTTGTAAATGTAATTATATTCTCATGCGGACAGCGTATTAATTATAACGCATTAATTATAAAAGATGCAAATCTAAATGTTCTTTCATTTTGAAACTGCAGAAAATTATTACTATCATTATATGCTTCACCAATGATGATTATAGTTTAATTTTCAAATATTGTAAAATTTTTTAGCGACATTTATTACATTAGATTTGTTATATTTGTATAAAAAGTTTTTATGCAATTTAAAAACAAACAAAATCTGTACTTTGTGATTAAATATGTTTGCGAACTTACGAGATTAACAATCCATTTATTAGAAAGAAAATATTCTGCGCAGATAGCACAGAGAGTTGAAAAAGAATTCTTTTTCGATTCTCGACTTATGAAATGAATTCCCGTTTCGTCCTGTTTTTGTTCTAAAAATATTCCTGATAGTTCCAAAAGATATCACTTTTATGTTACCAATCGTGAATGAGTGATGTTATCAACTTTTCAAAAGGTATTCTTTTCGTAGTCTTTCTCTATTTCTTAATTTTATATAAGAAATTATACTTTGATTTTTATGCAAATTAAATATTACTTTTATTAAAAATAATATGCATATACATATATAAATGTACAATAAATATATTTATATACATTTTTAAGTTTTTTTTTAGTTCATTTCGAACAGATTGCGCCAATAAGCCTTAAGAAGGTGAATATTTTTAAATTGAGATCAATTGTGCTATCTGGGTGATCGATTGATAAAACTGTTTTATGTGCTGACAATTTGGTGCTTTAACTTAAATATTGTATTGAATTTTTCATTAATACTATATATGCAAGTATAATCTCTCGTGAAAGATTATTAATCACTAGCGTGAGCGATCACAGCTATTACTTCACGTTACGCTGTTATAACTTTCAACAGAATTGCTATATGTATATTTTTGATATGTGAATGATAATGAATATAAACCACTGTCCCGATATATGATACTCTTTTTTTAAGCGATATGGAAAGTTTTTGAATACGTATAATAGGTTTGTTTGTTATTGCTGCATTGAACTGCACGCTAGAACTTTTTTTCCGTTTTTGCCAATTATATCAAATAGATATCTATTTTATTTTGAATACAAAGAGTGTACATTACACTAATTCAAGTGTAAAAAAAAAACAGATTTTAATATTCTACTGTGTGATTTAACAGAGAAAGAAGTTATTATATTGATTAAAATATTTTATTATATTGATTTGAATAAAGCAGCATCAGAACGGATTTAATTCTACTTTTTCCTGGATATCTTGAAAATTCATCTCTCCATAGAAGGAGTAAATCATACTATAGAGTATATTTTTAATTTTTCATACTCTTTTTCGACTACATCTGTTCCATAGTATTTGGAAATTTCGATGTCATTCGAAAGAATCATCAATACTGACATCAATTGCAAATATTAATTTGAACTTTGTCATTCTTCTAGCTTTTAATAGATTTTTATCATGCAATACATATACAAAGACTTTCCTTACAGCACACGTTATTTGCATATCAAGTGCGAGTTCCGTTCTGACATTTATGAAACATTACTTCTATTCCTTCTATACAAATTACACTTGTGTGCATCGCCAACGAATACAACGTATCCGTAGTGTCGTCAGTGTTATATCATATCTTTATCTATACTTTTCCAACTACAGTGGCGTGGTAATTGGTGACCTATACTGTACTTGTGTTTGCAGGCTCGCAGCGCCAGCACAAGTAGCTTTAGAAGCCTAAGCCAGGTATATACCAAGATAATAATCCAGATCTAGTTGAGAGATTAGTCACTAGCTATTTAGCTAGATATAGTCATTCATTTATTACTTACTTACTCATTTTTAGACATATAGATACCATTGCTCATGCGTAGAGGCGTAGAGCACGCGCATTTCGCTAAAACGTTCGGCATTGGTCTGTAGATTGTTTCATTAATTGAAGATTCCCGGTACATTATCACAGATACAAATCGGATTGTGACGGCATCGTCACGAAATTCTTTTATCACATCCTGCTTATTTGGATGCATAAGGTAAATGAAATGATTCGTACGATTTATACAATTGTTGTCCGGCGTGGTTACGAGAGATATACTGCAAGCTTTCGGTAATCCCCTTTGCAGAGTGTCAACCTGCTGCAACACTCGTTCGTTGATAAACAACATTCGAAACACGACAGATCGTTGACGGATTTTACTATCACTTGCGCATATTCCACATTTTGATTTCTGCAATTTTACCTCTCCATACGAACGTCTGATATACCTGTCTCGGCGTATTTCCGATAAAACTTCCGATAACATAATCGGTTTGGAGTATAATTTTGGTATTACACACGCCGTGTCGTTTCAACGACGACACAATTCTTAACTCTCCGGAGCTGACGTGGGTCTATTGGACCCGCTCAATTATAGATTTATATTTTATTCCTGTACTAGACTTTATACTACAACTTTCTTTCTAGAACTTCTTTCATCAAATATCAAACATAGACCTATTTCAATTGCAAAAGTGTACACTATAGAAAACAGATCTTCTATTCCTCCGAAGCTGGACGATGGATCTGTTGGGTTCCCTATACAGTGATTGTTTGGTTAATAAAGATTTTTATGAATAAAAATAATTTAGCTTCTTCTGTGAAGTAGAATTAAAATGAAAAATATATTATTATATTTGAATTTGCTATCAAATCTTAATTTTTGCATGAATTATTGTAGCAATTATACAAAAATGTCAAATAATTCAATTCTCTTTATATTTGCAAATTTGTTCTTATTAAAGCAAATTTAAGTATTTATCACAGTAAAAAAAAATTGTGTATTTGTGTTGGAAACGGTCCACTCACGTTCTTGTTAACAGTGTGTATTGAATTTTTTAATATATTCGAGTGTTGTTAAATTTAAGATAATATGATTATCATTTAAAGATTGTCATTTGAAGATTTTGTGTTAAATTGATATTCAACGTTCCAAAATGATACAATTTATGAATAAGTGAGCAAATACTGCAAAAATAAAGTGTTTTAAAACATAAATTCTAAGATGAATAAAAAAAAAGATATGGATTAATTTAACATATCGTAAATGTTAATTTTACTTAAAAAATTATACTTCCACGATTTATTTACAAACTGTTGATATTATCTTTTTTGTGTTTATTCTCTTACATAATATTTGTATAAAATTTTAACATATTCATCTTGTGTTAAATTAATTCAAAAATTTGAGTGGACCGTTTGGGACATGCGATTTACATTAAATTTGACACAGTTTCTTTCAGTTCTTTTTATACGAGCTATGTTATTTTAAGTACAAATGATATAAAACAGTCAAGGACTCTTACAATTTAATAACAATATAACGATAAAACAGACAAATAAAAGTCGATTCTTTCAGACGTAAACGTATCAAAATTATTAATATTAATTATAATTATAATTATTATTATGATATTATAATGTGATATCTCTGTTTCTATTATTGTATATATTTAACTTCTATTAATAATTTTTATACGTTTATATTTTAAAGAATCGACATTTATTTGCCTGTTTTATCATTATATTGTTATTATGTCATTTTAATTCCTTGAAATAAATTAGTAACTTTTAATCAACATACAATATATTAATCGGATCTCACTTACCCAGTATTAAAAACTATGTTACGGATTTTGACGTCAGCTCCCAAGAGGGTTAATTGAACGGTTCAGAATAAAAGTAGACGAGAACGTAAAGTACGCAATCCAATACCGCATGGCACGTACTTCCTTCCGAGATTTTCGTCGACGACAAATGCGACCGCCCGTAGAAATACATGTCTCGTACTTTTGCTCCGTCTCGTTTCCTCTTTCCGCAAAGTTTCCGTGGAAAACGGAATAGTAAGTATATCATGAGAGACTCGGGATAGTGGACTACCGCAATTACAGTAGAAATGCCTCGCGGAGAAAAAAAAAGAAGAAGAAAAAAAAGAGCTTGCGTCGAGAAACTGTATCCTCGTCGCGGCGCGGGCGAAGACAGGAATATGTCGAGGAACGACCCGCTAATGAGCGCATTTATGCAACTCGGCCTCGTTAAAACCACAATACTTCCGTGCTTTCGTCGCTCTGAATTACTCACACCTTTTATCTCGATCAACGCTTTCCCTTGCGCTAATGTTAATCGCGCGCGCTTGGCATGCTGTAATTCTAATAATGCAGCATTTTTTCTGCACGATTTTTTCGTAGCGCGTTACAATGTTCGTGAGCGGACACGCTGCTTTTTGGATAAAATAAATAAAAGTGCGCACCGAAGAAGAGAACTTAATCGGCATTTGACTGGAACAGATCGATTAACTGACAACGTAAAAGTGCCGAATTTGCAATTAAAAACCTTTATATTCATATTGAAAGTACTACAAACGATAAGAAAATTTCAGGATAAATCTGTGAAACTATAATATTTATATACTAATATTTGTGTATATTTTGAAAGAGTGAAAGCAAATATTCTTTCAAATGTGCGTTTGTCATGAATATCTTTACAGTACTCATGATGTTATTGAGTGTATGTAAGCTTATTTTTACAGTGCAAACAATCTCGTTATGGCGCTTACAGATGTTGTGTTTTCACCAAATGAAAACAACGAAGAATAATATTGAATAAAGCATTATCCTACATTATTCGCGCTTATAGGTACTATTTTATCCATATATCGACCAATGTATCTTTCTTTTTATACATACATACATAATCGATATTATTGTGAAATTAAATGTATTTTAATATATTTTTAACTCTTTGAGAACCGGAATTTTTTCACAAAATAACTTATGAAAAATTTTGCTTTCTAAAAATGTTTAGAGTTGCTAAATTTGATTTTGATTTCAGAATTGTAAAATTTAAATTAAAAAAAAAATGATTATATTGTGCACTATTGGAAAAAATGTATCGAATTTAACATAAATCGCGCGTCTCAAACGGTCTCAATTTTTTAAATTAATTTACACACAAAGATGAATATGTTAGAAGGTTATACAAATGGTAATATTGACACTGTTTATAAATAAACTATTGCACGCATATTTTTTTTTAAATTAACATTTATGATATATTAAATTAATTCATATTTTTTATTCATTCATCTTAGAATTTACGTTTTAAAACACATTATTTTTATGTTATTCACTTACTCATAAATTGTGTCATTTTGAAATGTTGAATATCAATTTAATACAAAATCATTAATATAATTACATTATGTTAAATTAACACTCAACAATAATTTTGTAACAATATGTTATAAAATTCAATACAAACTGTTAACAAGAATGTAAGTAAGCAGGCCATTTTCAACACAAATACGCAATATTTTTTACTGAAACTCGATTTAGGAAGTTCTTGGTATATTTGAGTTTGAATGTAGTCTGAAAATATCAAAAGGATCATTCATGAAAGAGAATCTAATGGATTTATAATCAGAATTTAAAAGCCAATTCGAAAATTAGTATCATATATATAAATCTTTAAGTATCACTGATAAACTTTAAATAAAGCAACACTTGATAGTACTTCGGAATTAAAAATCGTCTAAAATCGAATTTTTTAAATAATAGGATTGATAATCAAATTGATAATCAAATTATTTTTTAAAATTCTGTTTCTCCGTCATATTCAGTCCATCATTAAAAATTTTTTATTTTTGATCTCAGAGTAGAATAAAGCATTATCAAATTTCCCGTTTTGTAAATGTTGAACGAGCAGCCTTTATAAAAGAAAAGGGGGTAATCTCAAACAGGAGTTACTAGAGTACAAAGAGTAAAGTCGCAAAAGATAGATAATTTATTAAGTAGAAAAACGACATTACGCGGAAATAAGAAACGGGCTGTAATAAGCGTAGAAAGCTTAATACGAGCAATGTAGAACTAATTCTATTATTGTGAATAAATGGCAATTGTCTACTTGATTATGTCGATTGATACATTAAATAAAATTTCGCACAGCGAAATTTTGCGTGCATGCTTCTATATATGTCTAATACGTAAATATCGTAGGTCAAGGACTGTTTTTCGAAAGAATGAACACGCGGGAAAAATCGTTACTATGCTTCTTGTGAATCCGAACATAAATTATCTCCCCCTCTCACTTCTGTACTTCTAAAAACTATAAAAATAAAATAAGAGAGAGAGAGAGAGAGAGAGAGAGAGAGAGAGAGAGAGAGATCAGGATTGATATTATGAGATTTAAGCAAAATGCTCTACTGCAATAAAGATTTAATGGTGTTTATTAGACCGTTAAATTGTGGAAAAATGAATAAAGGAATTTGAATAAATGCAACAGAACTGTTCATCTCGAAAGAAAGCACAGAAATGAATAATTTTTTAAATCACTACTTCTCGCACATTTTAGACTCTCGCCTTTTGGGCTCTAAAGACTGCTTTAAAAAGAAAAGTGAGCCCGAGAAAAGAAATCGTAAGTTAAACTGCGAGATTTAATAGAAGATATTCTTTATTGTAATCACAGAGTCTAATTTATTAATTCGACGTTACCTATTGTAATGATTCAACATTTTTATATCATAAGTTCCATATTAAAAGAAAATAAATGTAAAATTGAAAATGGACCGAGATTGTTTGAAGTAATTGTGTTCAATGTACTACGATCGAGCCTCCTTTGAAATCTCATTTCGGGGATAGGTGTCTCAAATACGATTGCAATTATAGCAGGGATTTAATTTAAAAGGCATATGCGTTTTCGTAGCGCTTGAAAT